TTTGAGGACCCCTGCTCTAGACCACCTCCTCAGATGCCAGTGTGTGCCCATTCACCTGGGCACCTGCTGGATTGCACATGCTGATTCCCTGAGCCTGGGGTATGATCTGTGCTGCTGCATCTGTCTGGGCCCCCAGGTGCTCCCGTAGCAAGAGCTCCCCGAGTCACCACAGCCCAAACCCCTGCCTGCCCCAGTGCCACTCCAATCATTAGCTGCCCATCAGACACTTGTCGGTTTTCATTGGCTGATTTTCAGAAGTAGATCACCAGGCCTTTGTTCCTCGTGCGTTTCAGTCAGGCAGCTCTGCCGAAACTGTCTCTCATCACAGCCACACACAAGGCTCCAAGGACAGACGGGTGGTGGCTGCACTCCAGGTGCACTGGCAGGGGATTGAACTCTGGACCTCCTGCCTGGAAGGCCAGAACTCACCCACCAGTGAGCCACCACCGCTGCACGAGGCTTACCCGGAGCCAGGAAGGGCCGCGATTCCTCCCACCACTGGGCCGGCTAAGAGATGGAGAGCTCCACTTGCTCATTCTGGTCCGATCTGAATTCGGCTCACTCTGGCCAAACCTGGGAGCCTGGGCTGCTGAGTCGAGGGGTTGGGGGGTAGGGGGGTGTGCATCACAGTAACAGCTGACTGTGGTCCAGGCTCTGTCTGGAGGGTTGAGTGTGCCATTTTGTTCCAGTCTCAAAACGCCCCATGAGGCAGACCCCTTCCAGGCAGAGGTCACAAACAGCTGAGTCACAGGAAGTCAAACTATTTTCTCAAAGCTCCTAACTATCAAAGCCGGGCCAGGAACCCAGAGGGTCTGACCCAAGGCCTGCCAAGCGGCCCCAGAGGCATTCAGACGCTGCCCGGAACAGCACCGGTATATAGATGGTGCTGGTTCTGAAGATACCCCAGTGTCTGCGGCTCACAGCTCGGCTGCCTGCTGCCCAGCACTGCAGGCTGGGGCTCCCAAATCCACCAAGGGCTTTCTTGGCTGTAATCACTGGGCCTTTCTGCCTGGGCACCACTGAGGATGGAGAGAGGGGTTTGAACCACTGACCTTTAGGCAAGCAAGTTAGCATGGCCTACTATGGCACCCGGGGACGGATGCATGTGTCTGTCCTAGATCGTTCATGTATGTGACATCATAGAAGTCGTGCTCTTGCACGACTGGCTGATTTCAGGCTTCATCCGTGTCACAGCACCAATTGGGGCTCTGGGTTTGTGTACAGAGGAGCTATGTTCCACGTGGGGGGGAGTCCTCGTCTGTTGTACACAGAGTGCCCATCCACTGTGTGAGAAGCGGTAGTCCTCTGTGTGGGGAGTACTGTTCCCTTGTGTGGGGAGTACTGTTCCATTGTGTGGGGAGCACTGTTCCCTTGTGTGTGAGTACTGTTCCATTGTGTGGGGAGTACTGTTCCATTGTGTGGGGAGCACTGTTCCCTTATGTGGGGAGTACTGTTCCATTGTGTGAGGAGTACTGTTCCCTTGTGTGGGAGTACTGTTCCCTTGTGTGGGGAGAACTGTTCCATTGTGTGGGGAGTACTGTTCCATTGTGTGGGGAGTACTGTTCCCTTGTGTGGGGAGTACTGTTCCATTGTGTGGGGAGTACTGTTCCATTGTGTGGGGAGTACTGTTCCATTGTGTGGGGAGTACTGTTCCCTTGTGTGGGGAGTACTGTTCCATTGTGTGGGGAGTACCATTCCATTGTATGGGGAGCACCGTTCCCTTGTGTG